AGAATAAATAAATTTGGAATAAATACTAAAATAAATACTGCAATGAATATTGCAATGGTTGATAAAAGAATCAATATGAGTGAAACAAAGTAGTAAAGAATCCCTTTAGCGATTCTTCGCAAAAGATTCAGAGTTAAATAAATAAAATATTCTGATATCATTTTGAGTACAATTGATTAGGAGCTGAATGTTTTCATGTTCCTTTTAATACATTTTGTCGTAAATGAACTTGTTCAAATAAGGATAATTATTTTTCATCTTCGCCGCGGTTATTCGTATTACCTATTTTACAAAACATTAAAATGAAACTCCGAGTTTTGTATGATATACAGCATTTTATGATAACGATTAATCTATAATATATAGTGATGATCTGTTACGCAATAACTGTATACGCATTAAAACAAATCAGATATCATATTTTTAATTTTTTAGCATAAAAGTATACAGTATAAATGCTACCAAACAATCAATTATCTTTCAAGAAAGATGTATCATAAACGGAAATTTGTCTACTGCTATAAATTTGATGATATAAACAAAGTTAATATTCTCACTCTTCGCGCGCTATTGCAAAAGGTTTTGTTCGATGATTAATTTTTTTTGTAAATGAACAAGGAGATAATTAATTCATATTTGACCTAATTTATGTTATCTACACCACGGTTATTTGTATTACCTGTTTTACAAAACATCAAAATGAAACTCTGAGATATGTACGATATACAGCGTTCTAAGATAAAGTTAATGACAATATAATGCTGATCTGTTACTCGAAGGGATTTTCTGTTTATACTATAAATATTGAAAATATAAAGTACTAGTATTTTCATTAAATTCTTTAAATTTAATAATTGTTAAAAGCTTAAGACACGTTGAAAATGAATAAACATACTAAAGAAGTGAAAAAAACGCTTTTTAAATTGTGGACTTGCTAATTGTTTTATTGAGTATTGAAGTTTTTGTCATATTTATTATTTGGTTGTTAGTATAATTTTACTTCCCTAATTTAGACGTAGAAGTTATAACTAATTTTTATCAATTGTTATAGAATCAAAAAGCTGAAGCACTCATATTTATATACTGAGCCTTATGAGCCAATTGTGCATGAGACTTTTGGAGACCGATCTGAACCTTAGCATATGTTAATAGTACAAATTACAATTGACTTCTTTTGCCGTATTTATCAATGGAGGTTGTGGATTTGGGGTATCTAGATTACGATGGTTTTGTGCCAATATAAATATTAGAATTTATCCTTTGGAATTAATGTAAAGTCCCAAAGATAGGATTTTTTTTGTTTCCCTTGGCATCTTGTCTATTCTAAAAATATCTATTTATCACTTTTATTTAGAGAATTGCATCATGACAGAGACTATGTAAACTCTGAACTGGAGATTGGAAACGGTTTTATTTTCCATAAGTTAAAACCGATTAACCGGTTTTAATACATGAAAACAAGCCGGTTCCAAACTCTTCTGAATATTACCGTTTATTTAAATTTATTAAATTAGGAAATTAGACTTTGTATTGAGCTAAAATTTGATAACGATAATACTGGTCAAAATTTTATTAAATTAGGAAATTAGACTTTGCATTGAGCTAAAATTTGATAATACTGGTCAAAAATTAATCAAATTGAAAATTATGCAGATCTTGTTTCACGACATATCGATAAACATCTATTTAAAAAGGATTTTCATTCGGCATTTTTCTAGAAATTACTTTCTTTCATCTTAACAATTTCAAATCTTCAAATCTTTGTTCGTTAAAACGTAAGTAATTTAGAATTTTACCGGAATCATCCTTTTATTATAATAAACAAATGACTTACAACCTAGTTCAGTTTTATCTTAAAGGCTTTTGAATTAAGATCGATATATTTCTGCACATAAAGATCAACATGGATGATGACGAAATAATAATGGCGGAAGACGAAGAGGAGGAAAAAAAAATTTCTTATATAGATTCACAGCTTAATTATTATATTGACAAATTAGATCCGAAAAATAAATTTAATAATATTGTCAAACCAAATTCAACTGATGGTGACAAGTGGACCTCTTACCTTAATAATGTAAAACTTTATTCGGATGAAATGAAACACAAGGCTGAATGGATTTATGTCAGCGCATTATTTGACCAGACAAATTTTGTTTTTCAACATGCAATTAAGAATAAAAATGATTTAGACGAAAAGGCACAGAAAAAGTACATAAAACAAGCTCTCGAAAGTTCTATCTCAGCAAAAAGTACTACTCAAAAAGGTCGATATAAGCAAGTTTATGACCATATGATTGATCTAGTTGGAAGATTTGAAAGTCATAAAATTCCGATAGATGTATGGCTTCCTTTATTAAGTCAAATTTGCATCTCATTTCGATTTTTACATGATTCAAATTTCAAAAGAAAAAAATCCTATAAATTATATGACAATTTCATTAGTGCTTTTATTTCAAATTGTCTTGAATTGATTAGTAACAAAGAAGTTGAGTAATCTCAAAGCTCATATTTTATTCTGGGTTGAAGGTTTATAATTTTTTGCATTATTACGATCTCAGTTTTTGTAATTTCAATTAAGGATGTAAGCAATTCTATGGTTTAGTTATATAGTTTATTATGAAATTCGTGGGATATCCGGTTTATTACCATATTGATGTATTTTCTATTCAAGTCAAATATTTACTTTGCTTGTAAACATTTAAAACCTAATATATGATATATTTGTTAACTTTAATTGTAAGACGCGAGACATGTTTAATTATTTTCAAACTAAGTAAAAATTCAACTTTAGATAATAAGAATTATATCTTATTTTAATTATAAATCAATTCTTATTAAAAAAAACTTTGTGAACTAATAAAATTTTGACAATATTTTGGATAATGTCATGGGTTTCTCGTGAAAAGTGATCTAAGAAATTTGGGGCTTGGATTAGATATCGTTAATCGGTCCTAATTTGGTAGTAACTTTAATTGTCTAGAAGCTTAGAATACCGTGAAGCCCTGATTATTGAAACTGAAGTTTCAAAAGCTTAGCGGATGAGGCTGTAGTTTCATTGAAACTGGAATCAGTTCGCGAAAATTTCTGATAATTCTTAAAAATATATATAAAGTATGCCTTTTCATGCTAATAAAGGGAAAGAACAACAACTCCACGATATCTAAAACTTGAACCTTTAAGAACCGATCCCAAATAAACTAGCCTGTGAGTTATGATCGATGCTAAACTGTTCATGTATGTGCACTGCTTTCCCAAATGATCGTAACAATAACCTAAGTCTTTATCACTAATCTTAAATCGTAACATTAATAAAACCAGTGATCTGTTTATTATTAAATTTTGGATCATCAATAGTTAGAGTTTATGTTTCAATTCTTTAATCTCACTTTTTTGGGGCAATTACATCATCATTTGTTTTCGGATAGTTTAATATATTTTGAATATTTATGGATTGGGTACAGTTAAATTTTTTTGACCGTTTAGGCGCATTAAAGCTTTAATTCAGTCAGCCTTAAATAATTCGTCCGGCACTAAGAAAAAATTTTTATATGATTCTCTATCTGTCGCACAACTGGAATTTGCGGTCAAAACGGTTTATTTTTCTTATGCGAACTAGTGAATCGGTTTGACATAAGAAAAATAAAACCGGTTCCAAAAACAATATATGAAAACAAGTCAATAAGTTTATCAGCCAAGTATTATTTGTGAAACAGTTCAATTAGTGCAGCTTTCTCAAAACAACTACTTGCTATTCAATTGGTGCGATTTTCCGAGACAATGAGAATTTGTAAACTGATTAAAACGATTATGCAAGTTTTACATGTGAAATTTACAGTTCAATTGGTGCAATCTTTCCAAGGCAACGAGGTTATGCAAGTTTTATTTGTGAAACTTGCTATTCGATTAGTGTGATTTTCCCAAGACAATGAGGTTATGCAGGTTTGTTTGCGAAGCTGCTCCCTAATGGACTTAACCACACAAGCTTGTGAAACTTACTATTCGATTGGTGCAATTTTCCCAAGACTCCGAGATTATGCTATTTTTATCTGTGGAACTTACAGTCCAATTTCCCTAACAACTACTGTAGATTATACATGTTTTACTTGTGAAACTTACAGTTCAATTGATGCGATTTTCCCAAGGCAACGAGATTATGAAAGTCTATTTTTTTAAACTTGTTATTAGATTGGCGTGATTTTCCCAAGACAACGGGGTTATGCAGTTTTGTTTGCGAAGCTACTCCCTAATAGACTTAACCAGACAAGCTTACGTGTGAAACTTACTATTCAATTGGTGCAATTTTCCCAAGGCATCGAGATGATGCTGTTTTTATCTATGAACTTACAGTTCAATTTTCCTAAAACAACTACTGTAGATTATGCGAGTTTTACTTGTGAAACTTACAGTTCAATTTGCAAATAGGGATGGACTCGGTCGGCGATTTTCGGCTTAGCCGGCCAGCTATCTCATGATTCAGTGATCTAAATTGGACCATTCGAATTATCTTATCGAGACTATTTGAATGGTACTAAAAATCGTCCAGTTTTGATCACTGGATCATGAGAGAGCCGGCCGGCCAGGCCGAAAATCGTCGACCAAGTCCATCCATATTTGCAAAACTATTCCCTAATAGACTTAACCACATAAGCTTACTTGTGAAACTTACAGTTCAATTGGTGCAATTTTCCCAAGATTTCGAGATTATGCAAGTTTTATTTGTGGAACTTACAGTTCAGTTTTCCTAAAACAACTACTTTAGATTATGCAAGTTTGACATGTGAAATTTACAGTTCAATTGGTGCAATTTTCCCAAGGCAACGAGATTATGCAAGTTTATTTGTGAAACTTGCTATTCGATTAGTGTGATTTTCCCAAGACAACGAGTTTATGCAGGTTTGTCTCCCTAATGGGCTTAACCACACAAACTTACTTGTGAAACTTACTATTCAATTGGTGCGATTTTCCCAAGACTCCGAGATGCTATTTTTATCTGTGGAATTTACTGTTCAATTTTCCTAAAACAACTACTGTAGATTATGCAAGTTTTACTTGTGAAACTTACAGTTCAATTGGTGCGATTTTCCCAAGGTAACGAGTTATGCAAGTTTTATCTGGAAACTTGCTATTCGACTGGTGTAATTTTCCCAAAACAGCGATATTATTGTTTGCGAAGCTTCTCCCTAATAGACTTAACCACACAAGCTTACTTGTGAAACTTACTATTCGATTGGTGCAATTTTCCCAAGACTCCGAGATTATGCTATTTTTATCTGTAGAACTTACTGTTCAATTTTCCTAAAACTACTATAGATTATGCAAGTTTTACATATAAAACTTAACAGTTCAATTGGTGCGATTTTCCCAAGACAACGAGATTATGCAATTTTTATTTGTGGAACTTACAGTTTAATTTTCCTAAGACAACTACTATTGATTATGCAAGTTTTACATGTGAAACTTACAGTTCAGTTTGTGCAATTTTCCCAAGGCAACAAGATTATGCAAGTTTTATCTGCAAAACTTGCTATTCAATTGGTGTGAGACAACGAAATTATGCAACTTTTATTTGTGATTGGTACAATTTTCCCATGTCAACGAGATTACGCAAGCTTTATTTGTGAAATTTACTATTCAATTGGTATGATTTTTCCATAACAACGAGATTATGCAAGCTTTATTTGTGAAATTTACTATTCAATTGGTATGATTTTCCCATGACAACGAAATTATGCAAGCTTTATTTGTGAAACTTACTATTCAATTGGTGCAATTTTACCAAGACAACGAAATTATGCAAGCTTTATTTGTGAAGCTTACTATTCAGTTGGATGATTTTCCCATGACAATGAGATCATGCAAAATTTAATTGTGAAACTTACCATTCAATTGGTATGATTTTCCCATGACAACGAGATTATGCAAGCTTTACTTGATTATTAATTTTCCCAAACCAAGTTTTATAGTCTTTTATGCATCATACTATTCAATTTATTCAATTGGTGCAATTTTCCCAAGGCAACGAGATTATGCAAGTTTTATCTGTGAAACTTGCTATTCAGTTGGTGTGATTTTACCAAAGACAACGAAATTATGCAACTTTTATTGTGATTGGTGCAATTTTCCCATGGCAACGAAATTATGCAAGCTTTATTTGTGAAACTTACTATTCAATTGGTATGATTTTTCCATAACAACGAGATTATGCAAGCTTTATTTGTGCAACTTACTATTCAATTGGTATAAGTTTCCCATGACAACGAGATTATGCAAGCTTTATTTGTGAAACTTACTATTCAATTGGTATGATTTTCCCATGACAACGAGATTATTTGTGCATTAATGAACTTATTCAAATTCTACTTTAAAAATTATCACAATTACTTAATTAGCTAAAGACTTGTTTAATTGATAACTCCCGAAAGATCATGCAAAGGCGTACGTACTTTCTTTGAATGGTAAATGATCTCATATACATATATCTTCTGCTTTATATTGAAAATTACGATTTGTAATTCTAGGACAAATATTACCGCATGATTTTTCGAAGCACTCTAAAGTTTCTACGTCCCACAGTTCCAGATTGATGAATTTTGACACATGGTGTGGACGCCTTCCCGATTGGTTATTTTTCTAGAATATATGCAATTTATCAAACTCGTCAATTTGCAATTGTCTCATTTATTGACTTGAAAATTCAACTCTCTTCTGGTTAAAAAAAAACTTAAGTATTTTTTTTATTAAGTTTAATATCTAATTTGTATATAGATGACTGACTTTTTTATTTATTATAAGATGGTGTTTTTTCGGCTCATTGTAAGAAATACGGGCGCGTATGGGTCCGATGACTAGAACGGTCTGTTAACTGGTTAAAAAATTATGGGCCGAAAATATTACTCAACGAACGCGTATGAGTCCGTGACTAGAACGGTTCGTTGAAACCATATTACATTTTATTAAGTTTTTACATGATGAATGAAAAAACGTCGTTATCTGATAAACTTTATTACAAAGAAATTTATAAATCAAGTGATAATGTGTATTAATTTCTTATATTCTATTTTTCATTATTTTCGGTGGTTTTGTTGGCTTCATCGGATATGTACAAAAAACGGCCCAACAACTCTATTTCTTCCCTTCGATATGCTGGTAATGGCTCGAGTTCTGATTCTAAATTTAACACTGATTCAGTTCGTTGAAGTACTGGTGCTGTTCTGACAAGACCTAAATCGTATATAAATTTATTAAGGAGGTTATGTTAAGCGAAATATAATATGCTCATTATGTATATAGAGATAAAGAATACCTTGATTAGTTAGTTGCCTGCTATAAGCTAACTGTTGTTCATAAAGATTACGATTATTTGTTCTTGCTCTCTCTATAGCCTGTTTATGTAGTCTTTCCGTACGTTCTGCATCCACGTTCATTTCTTCTATTTTTTGATTTACTTTTTTATTCTCGACCTCCAAAATATTACATCGATTTTTGTAGTCATCCCTTTCTTTTGTTAAATGCTTAATGGTGTCTTTTAAGGTTTCAATTTCTGTATCACGTTTATAAAGGCTATTTGAAAGTTCTTCAATTCTTGCTCTATTTGTTTCACCTTCGTCTATTAAAATTTGTAATCTTGCTAATTTATCTGACAAATTATCTCCTTGTATATTGTTATTATTGAAAAATTTTATAACACGTTTTTTTTCACGCTCGAGAAATCCGACTTGTCTTTCATAAAATTTGGCCAGATTTTCGTAAGGATCAATGTTAGCGGCTCTAGTAATTTTCTTAGTATATTTACGTCCCATTTTTTATATTCATCTCTTTTTGCTTTTCCAGCTTTATATATATATTCGGTAATAACATAATTACTTTTTTTTTATATGGTATTATAATAATATTTGATTAAAGAAATATAAATAAAGTTTTATAACAATCTTCTATTTATTTACCACGCGATTTGACTGACTCCTGTAGTAGTTCAAAATTTTTTTGGCAAAAATGCTTAATTTTCGTAAACTTATTGAACCTAAATTAGAGTACTTATTATGATTTATGATATGAAAATTACACATGACTTGTCAAAATTATAAATTTATCGACTGACTCTGGTAGTTCGGATTTTTGGCAAAAGTTGCAATTTACAACAATAAAATAATTTTATTTTATTTACGCAAACGAATAAGACATAGCTTAATGTCGTATCAAAGAGAATACCCTTTTCCATCGAACCAAGATGATTATTTTGATAATTTACCATCATATAAGTCTAACAATTCATTTGACATTGAGGAATGTATAGGTTCTTCTCAAGGTAAGAATTTATAATTAAAATAGTGATAACAAAGAGAGAAATTAATCATTTAGTTTTGTATAGATACAATTGCATCCGAAGAATTTTTTGCCCCTCTAACAAATGAAGAAGTAAATGATACTATCCAAAGCAATGTTAACGTTAATGAAATTGGACAAAAATTAAATAGCAAATCGGAAACAAGTATTAATAATGTTAAAGACCAAAATTGTAAAATTTATATGTGGCTTTTTATTATTTCATTTATACTTAATATTTTGCTTCTTTATTATTTTTGTCAAGACTATTTGAATATGGATAACACTAGAGACCTTACCCGGGTCGGAAAATAATGACCCGGGCGGGTCAGATGTTTGTCCGGGTCATGACCCGGGTCAACGGGTCATATGGGGAATGGACTAGGAAAACCACCATCTGACACTTGCTTTCAGATGGGGGTTTTCCTAGTCCATTCCCCATATAAAAAATCATCAGGTTTTTTAAATTTTAAGTTGGCGCAACCCTCATAGAAAGTTGATGTAACGACTTTTAAAAAAGTTGGATCTCTCTAAATGGGGATAATACGCCAAACATATCGTTTATAATCAGGGATTTGTAAAATTTGGATTTCATTTGTAGAATTTGGAATTTGCATAGATAAATCCAAAATTTCCGGATTTCTGACATTAAAGTATTTTTTAAGAAATGATTTAAAACGTCAAGCAATATACGTATTGAATTTAGTAACATAACAGTTATTGAATTAGGTAGATAGTTAAGTCAGGTGGTAAACACTAGATAAATCATTAGAATTGAACCGCAAATGCATTTTAAAATTCAACATATAATATAAAAAAATTTGAACCAACTAATGCAGTTGGGCACATTACCAAAAATGGGGTCGTCTAAAGCTGTGTGCAGTCACGTGACATATAGCCAATAAAATTGTTTGTTTTGATCGACACGACGAAGAAAAAAAGCGAAAAACGTCAAAAATACAAAAAATGAGTGTCTAAACCTACCTTGGGGCATTAATAAAAAATGTCGGGGAGGTAATTTTACTATAAGACTTATCCTAATTCTAACCCTAACTAACAATCACCCTAACTTACCCT